CCTCGCCCCTCTTTATCCCCGGCCCCGCGCGCTGCCCTGTCATTCATTTGTCACTCTCCCCGCTCCCATTTTCCCCCCTCGCCCCTTCTCCCGCTCCTTCCGCCCTTGTTTGCTTTCCTGCCCCGTCCCTTTCTCTTCCTCCATCTATTTTTATCTTCTTTTCATCCCCTTTTGCCATCCCCCTCCTTATCCTCGCCCTCCTCTCCCTCTCTCCCCACGCCTGCCGTTCCTCTTCACTTTTTCTGGGTGCTTGTGTGTGTTTCAGGCCTTCAAGGAAAAGTTGCAAACTCCCAAGTTGTTGTTTTTTTGGCTACATTTGAGGGAGCAGGTGCTGAAAGGAGGGAGCTATGTAGGAGGTGCCTGGGCGCTCAGGGAGGTTTCAAGGAGGTAAATGGAGAGGATGTGGGAATGGAAGGGGTAGACTTGTCAGTCCTCTTGGGGTATTCCAGGGAAGAGACTCCAAACCCTCCTTCTGCAGGGAAGGGGGATTGATCACTGTATTTCTTTTCTATAAAGAGGAAAAAAAAAAAAGTGAAGGAAAAAACCAAACAAAACCCAAGCCAGTTGCCCAAGGATGGAGTTTCAGTAGCCAACCACAGCTGGACGCTTGGGGGAAGAGGGTTCGTGCACTCTGGCTCACGTACACATGAAGAGATTCTCCAAATTGTTTGGCTTCACGAAGAGATAAGGCCAGTTGAGCTCAATGTTTTTAAAGGTGGGCCGTGTATGATGAAACCCAACTTTTTTTAAAGTGTAGCAGATTTCATTTTTATGGCCAAATGACAGCTTGACCCAGTTGTTATCCAATCAAAGGGCATTTTTTTGAATGTCTCTTTGTGGCACAACAGCCAACGCAAAAATGATGGCGGCTTACAATGGCGGTACGTCTGCAGCAGCAGCAGGTCACCACCACCACCATCACCACCACCTTCCTCACCTCCCTCCTCCTCACCTCCATCACCACCACCACCCTCAACATCACTTGCATCCAGGCTCTGCGGCTGCGGTACATCCCGTACAGCAGCATGCCTCTTCGGCAGCACAACAGCCAACGCAAAAATGATGGCGGCTTACAATGGCGGTACGTCTGCAGCAGCAGCAGGTCACCACCACCACCATCACCACCACCTTCCTCACCTCCCTCCTCCTCACCTCCATCACCACCACCACCCTCAACATCACTTGCATCCAGGCTCTGCGGCTGCGGTACATCCCGTACAGCAGCATGCCTCTTCGGCAGCTGCGGCCGGGGCCGGCAGCAGCAGCCATATTTCCCATCACCGGCACCGGGTCAGGCCCCTGGACCAGCTGCAGCAGCCCCAGCTCAGGTACAAGCTGCAGCAGCTGCTGCAGTTAAAGCGCACCATCATCAGCACTCACAACATCCACAACAGCAACTGGACATTGAGCCGGACAGACCTATTGGATATGGAGCCTTTGGTGTTGTCTGGTGAGTAAAGAAAAAAACGGAAATGATTTTTCCTGTTCATTTTTTACCAGATCATAATTCATTCTTGTTTTTGTCATTTGAATCAGAATACAAGAAAGCTGCTTACTACAAATTTTTTTGCTGGTTCTTCTCTGTTCTTAGAAAGTTGGCTTCACTTGTTTTTGTTGGCAGAACGAGGTTTAGAGTGGTGAAGAGCAAGCTCTGACTAACAGGCCACACCATCAATCTCTTTTGAGACAAATGCAACATGTTGATAGACCTTCCAAGCATTTTATTAGAATATGTATGTTGTGTAGTTAAGCTGTGCTTCTTGAAGTCTCAGGTTAACAAATGAGCATTAGAATATATGTTTTGACATGACGTAAGAGTTAGAAATTAAAAGCATATGAAAATGTCTTCCTTCTTCAGTCACCTGTCAAGATCTTTGTCTAAGAGACTGTTTGGCCTATATGCTACCCGAAACAGAATATCTGAACTTTGCTCTCCTCTCGTAAATGTAAATGGGATTTTCTGTCTTACTGTAGTACTGCCTACAGTCCTTTTATTCTCCCAGCCGCTCTTTCAGAGGATTTTGTCAGTGGAGCGTAATCTTTTCTAATGTATTTTCTGACCACCTTAATATAATGTATGTAATTATTGCTCTTCAGGATCACTGAAGCAAAACTGGCATGAGGGTTGGTGGGGGTTTTTTTGCTATTTTTATGAACGGTTGTCAGTTTACCCTATTCTGAAATGTTTATTAGAAACATGAACGATGCCTTGGTGGTGTTTTTGAGAGCAAGCGTGCTGCAGCACACTTCCTGTATTGCAAAGTTTGAAGTGTGCAACTCTGTCATGTCTCTACAGAACTTTCCACAGCATTCAGTCAAGATGACTTTCTGTGGTGGTTAAGGAGTTTTGCTTTTGCTACTGTTCGTATTTTAATTTTACTGAGGTAGAAGCATTATCTGGCTGGGATTGCAGTCTCTACCAGCATACGGTGGCAAAGTGCTTTGCACGACAGGCCTAACAAGAGCAAGACACACTATTCCTTTGTCCCAGCCCTTAAAGTTGGTCATTCGTAACTAGACCAGTATTTGTAATAAAAGCATGTTTTCTGAGAAGTCTGAACAAGCTGCACAAACTAGGCGCAGGTTAATGTTACAGTTGTTCTTGTGTCCCTTAATTCAGAAGGCCTAGGGAGTTAATTTAAATACTAAGTTTTCAAAGTCAGAGGGGTGCTGTTGTACAGTTAGCGCTGCTGTGTTCTAGATACGGTACAGTATAAAAAAGTTGATGGAAAAGAATGAAAACTGACAAGAAATCTGCTGTAAAAAATTATCTAAAGATTATTTCCATCTGTTCATATATTTTTGATAAAGTATGTAATTTTTTTAACTTAATTGTTACAGGCTTGCTTAAATTTAGATCGTTATGTAAGATCAGACCTTATTATCGTTTCTACAAGCATTTTGTTTACCTGTTTATATTTCCTAGGTCTTTATTTTCTCAGTTTTATTTGCAGAAAAGTAAGGTGAAGAGGGAGATGTGCTTTCATAATATTCAATAGAATAAAAGGTCAAGCTTGCATATTTAAATATAATATCATTAAGAATGATGAGGGGAAAAAAGAAGCGTAGGAAGAAGAAGGGCCTGTTCTCGACTGACATTGGGTAGAATGGTGACAGAAGAGTCCCCCCATCCCAAGACCCCTGACCGAGCAACTGCGTCCACACAAGCAGGAATTGCCCCCAGTGGGACTATGCTTGCAAAGCTGTAACTACAGCTTTTGCTTCAAGATAAAAACAGCTTTAAAAAAAAAAAAAAAAAGAGGGAGGTTGTTGAATAAAATAAAAGCAGAAGCTTGGAGGTCAGATCTCCTTTGCTAAAGCTATAAGGCTACGCAGGCTGAGAGTGTAATTGGCTGAAATTTGCTTCCTCTTTGCTCACGTATATGTGAATTCAGTGGTCACTGTTAGGCTCTTGGCATTTCATATTAACTTCTGCAAGTGTATGCAGACTGAATTTAAGAGTTTGTAAGCAATAATTAAACTGAATTTTAGATTTCATTCAAAATGTAAAAGAATGCCTGTGTAATTTAATTTTAGCTGTGTGAGAGAATGCAACTGAACATAAACATTCATTAGGATATTTATGGTTTAAGTTGACTTAGACATGAAAAATGCATACTTTGGTACAGAATTTTCAGTAACGAAAGGCCTAAGCTAATTTTGAAGAAGGATTCTCTCGCTTATCTGTATCTCTTTCTGAGCATGTATGGGCACTAATAGATAACTGAGAAGTTCATATCTGTACTTCTGAGGGAAATGGATATTATTCCACAGCCAGTTTGAGTATTTGAAGCAGTAGTCTTTCATCTTGCTACTCAGATGTGTCGTTGCATTGTCTAGAAAGATAGAACTTATCCTGCAGTTAAGTTTAGCTCGTCGAATAAGTAATTAGTAGTGTGCAGTATTGAGTTTCCCGTTAGCTTACTGAGAGTGATTTTGACTTGGCAGTTGAATTAGCATTTGTCATTAGTTCATTTGTCATTAGTTCATTTGTCTGGTACTTCATGACGTTTCGGGGTAGCTAATGTGCTGCTGGAGTTTGTCACTCATGAAGCATCATGCTTCAGCATTTTCCTTATTAACCCATGCATGCTTGTGTTGCTGCTGCTAGTATTTGTATACGCAAGCTGTATCCTTGCTCATCTAGTCACCATTACGTCTTAAATCAACTGTCCTGGGCACGTCATCTCTTTCGACTCCATGTAGATTTTAAAGTGAACTTAACACGAGCTGTCAAAGTAGAAAATAATCTCTTGAACAATTGGCAACAAATTGCTATATTTATCCATTTTCATTGTACTTTAACATAAAGATGTGCATATTAATGCAATACCAAAGCTTGGTGTTTCTGAACTGTGGCAAAAGGGGGGGGGGAAGTTGCTGAAGCAGGAAAAGATGTGTAGGTACCTCCCCCAGGTTCTGCAGATTTGCTTAACTCTGCTCTTGTTTGGCAAATTGCCACAAACCAAGTTGCGTACCTAATTTGCTGAAGACAGAGCAATTTGCTCTGGAAGTATCCACTGTTAACGCATTCTTAAAGTATTGAAAAAAATACCGATTGTAGTTTCAGCGACAAACTCTGTTTGTGCCCCATGTTTCAAATTGTCTATCTGATTTTTGGAAGTCTTGTGTATATTCTAAGAATAAGGAGCTGTCCTTTGCAGAAGTGCTCCCTGTTTTGGTGGGGAGACATGCTGCTGCCATCTGGTGGGATTAATAATAATAATAATAATAATAATTTCATGGAACCTGCCAGGGCTCATAGGTTTTCGAGTGAGGAGTGAAGCCTTAATACCTCTGCAAGAGGCTTTCGTGCTGTTTTCATGCAGGATTCCTAGACCAGTGAAGAGGAACTGCAACTTCTGTGGAGGTAGACAGGGAATAATTACTTTGGTGCTGGTTCAAGTTGCTAACATTGCTGCTGAAATTTTGTGAAGATGTCTTGTTGGTTGGAATATATCAACTCCCATGGGATAAGAAGCTATGACTCTGTAAGGTGTGTGGGGATTGTATTTGTCTTATATGTGTCTCTAATTTGGAAAAGTTATTGTTATTCATCAAAGATTGTGAAATCAACCAATCTGTTTTATTATTACTAAAACTCTGTTAAAAGGCACCTCTGTGGGGAATCTGTTACAAATGAGAATAGAAAACGGTAGATGGATTTTTTTTTTTTTAAGTCCTGATTTACACATTTTTAAATTGCAGTGTGGTTTTTAATGTATTTGCTTCTAATACTTTTTATTCAGAAAGTCAAACAGCAGTATAAAGTTCCAAATAGTTTGGCTGTTGATGTTGAGATAGGATATTATGTACAGGCTGACAGAACTTTTAAAGGCAGGAATAATTTAGCCTAAATCTGCCGTTCATTCCTGGCCTTCAAAGGCCTGAAATCACTAAAGTTACTGCTAAATAAAAATTGAAAGAATATTGCATACAGTTGATTGTTGCCTGGACCCTAGAACTATTTTAGGAAGGTTTTATCACTGTAGTGATACTAAGCACAGCAGTAGGAAAGATGTTTCTAGGATAAACCGATAATCTCCTAACTGTTACTTTAAAGGAACGTGTCATGCTGAGCGAGTATGCAATATAGATAATTTGTTTTGGACAAAGTTGCTAGAATGTATATTAGGGGGAAAAAAAAAAGATGTTACAGCTTAAAAGAAGTATGCGTAACGGCAGAATACGTTCCCCTTCTGATGTCTGATACTGCTGTGAGCCACACTGATGTTTTGCATCGTTAATGCAAATAATAATGCAAAAGTCCAGTCTGGTAAGCATGAGAAGTTTAGAAAAAGCTGAATTATGCAAATTTGTTTTATGAAACCCTAAGACTTTTGGTGTGAGCGGTTTTTTTGTAGACTAAAGCTGTTTGTATCATGGTCTTTTTCCAGTGCCTCAAAAGTTACCCGCTAGTGGACGACAGTACTTGAACATTAGGAAAATGTCCCATGTTAATTAGCATTTAGATGGACAGTTGTTTGCTTTGCTTTAAACTATTTCATCTGACATTTTGTATTCATCTAAAAGGAATTGTTATCCATCAAAAAAATACAAAGGGACTCTAAAGTTTATCCTGGCACTCTCATTGTGAGTGAGACTGAGCATAAATGGAGAACTGTAAGCAGGAAGCGATTTCTCTGGTAGATGGAACAGAATATCCACCGGAATTGGATAAACAGTCTCTGAAGGAGTAATCCACACCAATAATGTTATCTGGACAGAGAATCCCTACAAAACATTCAAACTGAGCAAATCCAAGACAAATCCAAAGAGCCTTTTTAAAGTTCTGATACTGCAGCTGGCTAAGATGCACCAGCAGAACTAATCAAGAACATAACCCAGGGTTTTTCTTTAAGAGTGGAAAACATCTACAGTGTGGTATGTTGATTTTTGGTGTAGTGAAATTTGCCTTTAGTAATGGGCAATAAAAATGTTTAAAATTAA